GGCCCGCACCGTTCTTCCGTGACTTTATTTCTCCCGGTGCCTTCCTTGCTGCAAGCCCAGGAACTAAAGGTTGGGGCTATGATAGGAAGATGTGGACACCATATTATGAGGCACAAAGGAGGGCAAGTGACCTCATGGGGAAAGTGTCACTGGAGTTGATTTAGGGAGAGGAGCCCCCGGAAGGAAGGAAGGAAGGAAGGAAGGAAGGAAGGAAGGAAGGAAGGAAGGAAGGAAATAGGAATACTAATTCCAACGGCTGAGGTTGCTGTAACACAGCAGGTGGATTCTAGGTGCTTTCACATATCCCGTCATTTAGTCTTTGAAGCGACCCGAGGAGGTAGGTACTGCCATTTATTGCCATCTTCCAGATGAAGCAAGTGAGGCACAGAGAGTTTAAGTGACTTCCTCTCAGTCACACAGCTAATAAGTGTCAGAGTCGGGATTTGCACCCACCCCCCCCCACGGCCTGTGTTCTTCACTCCATCCGGGGAATGTGGGGCTGCTCCGAGCGGGGCGACATTCATTCCGGCCTTGGGAACAGCCTTGGCTGCGTGAGGCAGGGCTTGCTCGGAGAACCTGGTATGTTCCAGATGCTCTAGCTTATGGGCAAAATGGTAGCAGTTGGGAGAAGGTTGTATATGTTTGAGAATCTGTGAGATTGTGATGTAAGCCACGGCGAAAGAAAACACAGCGTTTCTTCATTTTTTAATGTCTGAGGCAAATGTAACTGAAATGACGTTAAAAAGGAACGCACAAAAACACCCAAATGACCAGGAAAGGAAGAAGAAAAGGTAGTACATCAAACACAGTGAAAAAAAAGTATACACAGAGAAGAGCAGAAAGACATACTTCCGTTCTTTTTTTTTTAATTTTTATTTATTTATGATAGTCACAGAGAGAGAGAGAGAGAGAGAGAGGCAGAGACACAGGCAGAGGGAGAAACAGGCTCCATGCACCGGGAGCCCGATATGGGATTCGATCCCGGGTCTCCAGGACCGCGCCCTGGGCCAAAGGCAGGCGCCAAACCGCTGCGCCACCCAGGGATCCCCATACTTCCGTTCTTTTGTATTTTCTAAAGCTTCTAATTTCATAGTCAGAAAATATGTATATAAAAATAAGTTTCTTACCATGATAAAATATATACGTATACGTAATGTATGTATTTATTACACACACACACACATTTGTTGTTTTCAACTTTGAAAGGCCCAGAGCGACAATTCTAGTAAAAATAACACATCCCGGGACATGAAACATTGCAGAAAGGGGCTGAAAAACATTAGCGTGCATTTACTCCAAATTATTATTATCTGGTGCAAAAATTTATAAACTCTAACTTGTTGGCATTGATGTTTCCAAAGCAAGTTAAACTGGGGTCCAGGCTATTTATAGTTTAGGAAGTCAGGTTTTTGGTTTTTTTTTTTAAGATTTTATTTATTTATTCAAGAGAGAGAGGCAGAGACACAGGCTGAGGGGGAAGCAGGCTCCATGCAGGGAGCCCGATGTGGGACTTGATCCCCGAATCCCGGGATCACGCCCTGGGCCCAAGGCAGGTGCCAAACTACTGAGCCACCGAGGTGCCCCTGAGGAAGTCTTTTTAAAAAGGAAGCACTTCAAAAGCTTTAAGTAAAATTCCTCCATCTTCATATGGAGATGCTTTTATTAAAAGCTTGCAAACCTGTGCTCACAGCTGCAGGAGCATTTCACAGGAAAGAGACTTTGAGGCGCCTTGTCCCCTGGACCCTCTCCGAGGGCACAAACAGGCTGTGAGGCTGCTCCCGAATAATTCATGCCACCTGGTTGCCGGAATGGTTCTTGGCTCTTCATTATCCTATTGACGTTTTTGAAATTTCAGGATCCCAATTTAGATCTATTTCAACCAGATCACAGGTGTCCCGGCAGAGACGGCCTCGGCTCACAGCAGTGGCCGGCAGGACAGCCCAGGCGTGCAGAGGCCACCCCGGCCAGAGCCCCTCGCGGAGGGAGGGCAGGAGGCAACGGCCAGAGAGCCAGGGGCAGGATTCTGAGCCCATTTGTACGACGCAGGCAAGGCCCAGCCTTCTACCAAGAATTCACTCCTTTCCTTTCCAGTCTGAATTTTGTCATCATCACCCCAAAGTGCCTTCAGGCAGGGCCCGGCTCACACTCCTGATGTCAGTGACATCAAGTCCAAAGCAGGAAATGACACATGGCGGGACGACATTGGCGCTCCTCCCCCACCACCCTGCCCAAGGGCCCGAAGAGCTGCTCCTTTCTGGACGGGAGGGTCCGGAGAACACCCCGACCCCAAAGCTTGCCCAAGGTCTGCTCCAGGGGAGGGCATCTCCCCCGTCCTCAGCTGCGCTGCTGTGACAGCTGCTGGCGTGGCGCTGGCCCCCGAGGAGGACGGTAGGAGCCGAGGAGGATGGTAGGAGCTGGCAGCCCTCGATGAGTCACCTTAGGCCGGGCAGGCATCATTGAATAAACTGCCTGTGTGCCTCTGAGGATGTGCCGACTGAGGACAGAGGACGGGCGGTCCTGGGGGAGGGGCGGGCGGCCGGGGAGGAGGCTGGTCCAGACTGCCAAGGCCGAGTCCTCCCGCTGCCGGGAATCCACGGGCCAGCCCTCCGGTGCCTGGGCCCAGGGAACCCATGCTGTCATTTATTTATCGACTGCATGCTCACGAAACGACCGACCTGGGTCTTGCCTCCCAGCATAAGGAAAACAGATTTCCCTGTTTCAAATGTGGGAACAGAGGCTCAGAGAGGGTAGGTGACTTGCTTAGGGACCTGAGCAGGATGAAGTGGAGTGGGCACCCCCCATGAGAGTGATCTTTCCCTGCCACAGGTGGGGAAATGTCCACCCACTGGGGTCCCACGTCCCCAAGATCGTCCCTTCCAGGTCACATCTTCTGCTCCTATTTGGCCCCAAATCCTCATCTTGTAGGAAACCACAAAGACCAAGAGGCAATTACCTCCAGAAAAATCTCTGTAGCTCTGTGTTGTTAGTGAAGCTACAGGGAGCAGGGCCATTCTCTGGAGAGGAACTGGAAGGCTCTAGAGACTCGGGAGGAAATGGGAGCTGGAGATAGAGACGGAGAGAAGGTGGAGGCCAAACCGGAAGAACCTGGCAATGATGTCAGTGGGATGGACTGGGGGGGGGGGAGGGGGACTCTGTACTGGAGAGGAGAGGGGGAAGGAGCTGGGAGCCGGGAACCCCCTCCCTCACTGAGACAGCACCTGGGTGCCCCGGGTGCCCCTAAGACCTAAGACCGTGTGATGCAGCCGCAGGCCGCAGGTGGACACGGGCCACTGCCGCTGGATGCCACTACCAACCCGGCGAGCAGGCTTCGGGCCTACAGCAGCAGCATCACCTCGGCTTTTATGGGGTATTCTTGCTCCATAAATTTGACCTGCTTTCATCCAGAGCTTCTCATTTCCTACTCACAAAGCTGGCTGCAGGGCACCTATAATTATCATCATTTTATGGTTGGAGAAACTGGCCCCAGAGAGGAAAAGGAGTATGTGCAGGGAAACAGAAACCGTCCCCAGGTCCCCGCTCACCTGGCCCAACGCTCAGGATCATCGTTGAGAACAATCAAGGCTGGATGTTACCTCACCCTGACCAAGCCTTTAAAACTCACCTAGGCTTTGTCTTTGTGGAAGGACTCGAGGTGCCTTCACTTACTGGCTTTGTAGCTACTCAGCTCTTTGAGGCTCCTTTGCTGAAATTGGGACAGTAATTACGTCTAGAGTGGGGCTGTTCACTGGAAATACAATGTGAGTCACACAGGTAACAAAATTTTCCAGTAGTCGCTACTAGTGTAGTAGTCATTAAAAAAAATTCTATTTATTTATTCATGAGAGATACAGAGAGAGAGAGAGGTAGAGACACAGGCAGAGGGAGAAGCAGGCTCCACGCAGGGAGCCCGACCGGGGTCTCCATCCAGGGTCTCCAGGATCATGCCCCAGGGGGAAGGTGGCACTAAGCTGCTGAGCCACCCGAGCTGCCCTTGTAGTAGTCATTTAAGAAGGTAAAAGAAAAAAAAATGAATTAAAACCTATATCCGGGATCCCTGGGTGGCGCAGCGGTTTGGCGCCTGCCTTTGGCCCAGGGTGCGATCCTGGAGACCCGGGATCGAATCCCACATCGGGCTCCCGGTGCATGGAGCCTGCTCCTCCCTCTGCCTATGTCTCTGCCTCTCTCTCTCTCTCTCTCTCTCTCTCTCTCTGTGAGTATCATAAATAAATAAAAATTAAAAAAAAAATAAAACCTATATCCAAAATAGTATTTTGATATGTTATCAATATGCAAAATTAGTAAGCCGCTTAACTTACTGAGTCCATGAAATGCAGTGACTGACTTACACGCACAGCACCTAGGGCACAGCTCAAGCGTTCAGGAGGCGCGTGGTGGCCTTTGAACGGGGCTGCGCGGCCCTGGAAGGAGGCCGCGAGGATTAGGTGACACAGCGCGCGGAGGGCACGGGGTCCGGGGTGAGGCCCCTGGCATCCTCCGTGGCACGCAGGCCGCGCGCAGAACTCGCCGCAGCTGCACGGCCCTTACCCGGGCCCAAGAGCCCAGGGGACGCGCGGCGCCAGCGCTGACCCTTGCACACCCACCGTCTTCCCGACACGCGGTGCAGAGCCCGCCCGCGGCCTGGGACGCGGTGGCGCCTGCGGCCCCCGGGAGCCCCTCCCCCTAGTCCGTCCCGCACCCTGGCTGCGGGTCCGCACCTGCTCCAGGCCCCGCGCAGGCAGGAGACCCCGCACCCCGCCGAGGCCCCTCCCCGTCCGGACCCGCGCCCCCAGCCCGTCTCGGGCGCCCGGAGCCATAGGGGGGGGCGGCAGCCGAGCCCCGCGCCCCGCCAGCCCCGCGCCGCGCACCTCGCACCGCGCCCCGGCTCCCCCTCGCGGTGCCGCAGTCCCCGCCGCCCCGCCCCGCCCCATTACGTCACCGCGGGCCCGGCGGGGGCGCCTCCCGCGCTATAAAAGGCGGGGCGGGGGGCGGCGACTGCTCTCTGCTGCGGACTCCGCCGGCCGCGCCGCGCTCTGCTCCCCGGGCCGCGCCTCCGCCCGCCTGCAGCCCGCACCATGCGTGAGATCGTGCACATCCAGGCCGGCCAGTGCGGCAACCAGATCGGCGCCAAGGTGGGCGCGCCCGGGGGCCCAGGGTGCGGTCCCGGCGGGGCGGGGAGCGGGCGGCGGGACCTCAGGGTGCGGACCCCGCGGGGCGGGGAGCGGGCGGCGGGACCTCAGGGTGCGGATCCTAGACGAGGAGGGGGAGGGGGCGGCAGGACCTCAGGGTGCGGACCCGGCGGGGGCGGGGAGCGGGCGGGGGGCTCCGAGGGATGCGGACCCCGGCGGGGGAGTGGGAGGGGCGGCGGGAACTCAGGGTGCGGACCCCGGCAGCGGGGGAGGGGGCGGCAGGACCTCAGGGTGCGGATCCGAACGGAGGAGGGGGAGGGGGCGGCGGGACCTCAGGGTGCGGATCCTAGACGAGGAGGGGGAGGGGGCGGCAGGACCTCAGGGTGCGGACCCGGCGGGGGCGGGGAGCGGGCGGGGGGCTCCGAGGGATGCGGACCCCGGCGGGGGAGGGGGAGGGGGCGGCGGGAACTCAGGGTGCGGACCCCGGCAGGGGGGGAGGGGGCGGCAGGACCTCAGGGTGCGGATCCGAACGGAGGAGGGGGAGGGGGCGGCGGGACCTCAGGGTGCGGACCCGGCGGGGGCGGGGAGGGGGCAGCGGGACCTCAGGGTGCAGACCCCGGCAGGGGAGGGGGGAGGGGCAGCGGGGACCTCAGGGTGCGGACCCCTACAGGGGAGGGGGAGGGGCAGCGGGACCTCAGGGTGCGGACCCCTACAGGGGAGGGGGAGGGGCAGCGGGACCTCAGGGCGCGGACCCCGGCGGGGGAGGGGGAGGGGCGGCGGGACCTCAGGGCGCGGGCGGGGGCGGGGGCGGGCCGGGGCCAGGTGTGGGCGGCCGTGGGCCCCCGTGGCGCTGTGCGCGCGGCGGGGAGCGCCCCGACCTGCCCGGGCCCGCGGAGCCGCAGTGGGGCTCAACGCTCACGCTCACGGGCCCTTAGGACTCCCCGGCCGCTGCCCGGGCGCTGGGGTGGGCGAGCCGCCGCGCTGCCAGTGGCCTGGAGCGCAGCTTAATTCATGTATGTCCCTCTAAGCTTGAATGAAAAAATGCAGTGTCATTGGGGTGGCGAGCTAGAGGGACTTCTTTTTAGGTTACAAAGACCAGGATGTTCGGTGCCTTCAGGGGCGCCGCGGACGCCGAGCCCCACTGTCGCGGGCCGCTGCCCGTCGGCTGGTGGCAGGTGCGGGGCCGTGGCTCCGACCGCGGCAGGGAGGGGGGTAGGGGGGGCGAGGCCGCGGCTCTCCGAGGGCCCCGCGCTCCCCTCCGCACCCCCCCGCCTCTTCCCCCCCCCCCCCCCCCCCCGCCGCTGCACATTCACACGGAGCTGCGCCCTCCCCGAGCCCGGCTCCAGCCACCGGCCCCCGCGGGGCTGCCGCTCCCCCTCTCCCCTGCCCTCTCCCCCCCTCCTCCCTCCTCCGACCCCCGCAGGGCTGCCGCTCCCCCTCTCCTCTCCCCATCCTCCTCCCTTCTTCCCCCCCTCCCCCCCCCCCCCGCCCGGACCCTGTAGGGCTGCCGCTCCTCCCGCCCCCTGTCCTCTCCCCCCTCCCTCCTCACCCCTGCCCCCTCCCCTCTCCCCCTCCCCCCACCGGCCCCCGCGGGGACAGGGCGACTCGACCGCTGCTGTCCGAGGTCCGGGCTGCTGCCTGCAGGGCTGGGTGGGGTTTGCACCCCGAGCACGGATCCCCGAGGCAGTGGCGGGGCGGGGTCTCCGCAGCCCTCGGCCCGGCCGGCCCGCCCATCAGGGGCGGCTGTGACCTTCAGCCCTGCCAGGGGCGCCCGCCTCCCCAGCATCCGGGGCTCTCCCTGCCGGGGCTCCGCCGCGCCCCCCCTCCCGGGGCAGTGCCCCTGGCAGCCTGGGGAAGGGCCGCCGCCCTGTGCCCCGACGAGCCCCCCTGCGGCAGCCCCCGGAGCACAGGGCTGCAGCTCTAGGCCCCCCCCCCCCCCCCCCCCCCGCCCCCACGGGGCCCCTGCTCCAAGGACACGGAGCCGTCTTCCTCACTGGCATCCAGGGTGCCAGCCCCCTCCCTGACCTGTGTGTCTTTCCCCAGTTTTGGGAGGTCATCAGTGACGAGCACGGGATCGACCCCACCGGCAGTTACCATGGAGACAGCGACTTGCAGCTGGAGAGAATCAACGTGTACTACAATGAGGCTGCAGGTGATGAGCCATGCTTTCTGCCCAGTCCCCTTGCTTTGCACGCTGGGGCGACGCAGTGTCCTAGGGACAGACGGACGGCCCGGGCACAGAAAGGCTGCTGGCGTGCATTTAAAGTGTCAGCTGCTGAAAATGACCGGCACAGCCCCCCTGACTCCTGCGTGTTGGCCATGACTAAGTGGCTGCCGCTGGCTCCTCTTCTAAGGCAGAGAGACAGCTCTGTTGGCTGCCTTTTGTCTCTGGTGCTAGAATTTTCTCTAATGATGCTGCTGTGAGAGGCGCATGGAGCCCAGCCTGGGCTGTGATCCCTGTGCCCCACCCCCACCCCCACCCGTCTAAGTCCAGCTGTGTTCCCCGCAGGTAACAAATACGTGCCTCGCGCCATCCTGGTGGATCTGGAACCCGGCACCATGGACTCGGTCCGGTCCGGGCCATTTGGCCAGATCTTCAGGCCCGACAACTTCGTGTTCGGTACGTAGTCACGGTCAGGGCAACGGGCTCCAGGAGTCTCCTTCCTCAACGCCGGGCAAGTCCCGATTCTTAGCGTCGCCTGCCATGTGGTGACTGGGGGTCCACAGAGGCCTGGGTCCTGGCCTGAGCCCCCGGGGCCCTCTCCGGGCGGCTCCGGGGACAGTGTGGGCCCAAGGCGGCCTCTAGAGCCCTCCCAGCGCGCAGCGGCCTGGGACGGGTCAAGAACACAGAGCGGGACCGGCGTCCCCACAGGAGTCGGTGGGCTTCTGGTAGCATCGCAGCCCAGGGCCAGCGGGCAGCCACTTCAGGAGGCCAAAGGCCAAGGGCACAGGTTATGCCCAGAAGTGGAGGCAGCTGCTTAGGGCCCGTTTCCTCGGATCATACTGTGCCCTTGCTCCTGCCTGTTTATTGCATCAGCTGTGAACATTTGTACAGAGCTCCTACAAAACCAGTTTGGTTTTATTAAACCACCTTCCTGATAAGTTAATAATTCCACATAAACTAAACTTGTTTTTATCTCATTATGATCTCCAGTGGTTTTGAGGATCATTGATCTGTAGAAAATTTTCCATGGGTAAAAAAGGGTATATATAAGAGCAGAATCGGCAAGTCTGCAGATTAGTCTGCAGTCCAATGACAATTCAGAATTCCTAATGTTTTAGTGTCTAATATTCTCCTTTCCCCCTGGCAGGCCAGAGCGGTGCCGGGAACAACTGGGCCAAGGGCCACTACACGGAGGGCGCCGAGCTGGTGGACTCGGTGCTGGACGTGGTGAGGAAGGAGTCCGAGAGCTGTGACTGCCTGCAGGGCTTCCAGCTGACGCACTCGCTGGGCGGCGGCACGGGCTCGGGCATGGGCACGCTGCTCATCAGCAAGATCCGCGAGGAGTACCCCGACCGCATCATGAACACCTTCAGCGTCATGCCCTCGCCCAAGGTGTCGGACACGGTGGTGGAGCCCTACAACGCCACCCTGTCGGTGCACCAGCTGGTGGAGAACACCGATGAGACCTATTCCATCGACAACGAGGCCCTGTATGACATCTGCTTCCGCACCCTGAAGCTGACCACCCCCACCTACGGCGACCTCAACCACCTGGTGTCGGCCACCATGAGCGGGGTCACCACCTGCCTGCGCTTCCCGGGCCAGCTCAACGCCGACCTGCGCAAGCTGGCCGTGAACATGGTGCCCTTCCCACGCCTGCACTTCTTCATGCCCGGCTTCGCCCCGCTCACCAGCCGCGGCAGCCAGCAGTACCGGGCGCTCACGGTGCCCGAGCTCACCCAGCAGATGTTCGACTCCAAGAACATGATGGCCGCGTGCGACCCGCGCCACGGCCGCTACCTGACGGTGGCCGCTATCTTCCGCGGCCGCATGTCCATGAAGGAGGTGGACGAGCAGATGCTCAACGTGCAGAACAAGAACAGCAGCTACTTCGTCGAGTGGATCCCCAACAACGTCAAGACGGCCGTGTGCGACATCCCGCCGCGCGGCCTGAAGATGTCGGCCACCTTCATCGGCAACAGCACGGCCATCCAGGAGCTGTTCAAGCGCATCTCGGAGCAGTTCACGGCCATGTTCCGGCGCAAGGCCTTCCTGCACTGGTACACGGGCGAGGGCATGGACGAGATGGAGTTCACCGAGGCCGAGAGCAACATGAACGACCTGGTGTCCGAGTACCAGCAGTACCAGGACGCCACGGCCGACGAACAGGGGGAGTTCGAGGAGGAGGAGGGCGAGGACGAGGCCTAAGAACTTCTCAAATAAATTGTGCATCTTTAGTGACCTTCTGTTGTCCTCAATCAAGCATGGTCCTTCTATTTGTATACTATGGTGCTCCGTTTTGCCTCTGTCAGAAATTCACTGTTGGTGTAATAATGTGGAACTCCTAAAAACTACAGTATTGTCTAAGATATCTATACTAATAAAAAAGCATGTGTCCAAAACGGTGTGGTCTCTTCAGTTTCATTTCAGGCAATTTTTATTCTTTTATTTATTTTTTAACATTGTATTTATTTATTCATGAGAGGCACAGAGAGGCAGAGGAAGAAGCAAAGAAGCAGGCTCCCTGTGGGAAGCCCGATGCGGGACTCAATTCCCCAGACTGCGGGATCAGGACCTGAGCCAAAGGCAGATGCTCAATCACTGAGCCACCCAGGTACCCCTAGAGGACATTTTAATGTCATTATTTCTATTTGGGAGGAGTTTGCAGGGAGGAGTAGAAAGCATGGGAAAACAGGTGAGCTGAGGAATGACAGCAAGAGGCTCACCAACCGGTGATTCCACAGTAAGGCATCATCAAATTCCCGCGGTTCTCGGGCATTTTTACTGTAGGAAGTCTTCTACTAACTTATTGAATTCATCTGCAAAGCGCAGATGGAGGTTGTGCTTGCCTTCTGGCATCAGATGCAACCTGAAAAGAAAAAAAGCTTATGATTAATGGCATACCATTTAAAACACTTACCCTTTCTAGCATTTCATGAAAATCTGAAGTGAAAAACTGCCCCCGTCCGTTTTTTCATGATGACTATTGGGGAGGAAATGTAAGTAATATAAACTTTTCCTGAATATAGACATAAGGGTGAAAGCTGCGTGGGGAGTTTACAACCAACCTGGGGGTTGACTTAACAGAGCACACACATTGTATTTGGAATTTGGAACTGTATCATGTAACAAATGGTTTAACTTTTTTTTTTTTAAGATTTTATTTATTTATTCATGAGAGAGAGAGAGAGAGAGAGAGGCAGAGGGAGAAGCAGTTTCCACACAAGGAGCTCGATGTGGGACTCGATCCCAGATCCGGGGATCAGGACCTGAGCCATTAATCATAAACTTTTTTTCATTACCTAAATGGGGGAAAAAACTCTTTAATAAGGTTGATTTTTAAGAGAGAAGGTTTGAAAGGCAAGAAAAATATGAGGTGTCCAGACTCCACTGGATTGGAACAGGGGAGCTTCCTGGGATATCCTAGAGTGAAAGCCCAAATCAGAAAACAGCCCCTAGCGGCCCGTCCTTTAAGGTTCAAAATCCCCCTGTCATTTTTGGAGGACTGAATAAGTCTGAATACATGCCACCAGACAGAAGGCAAGTAAGTGTTCCCTGGGATGGTGAGGGCAGCTGGAGCCAGCCTCAACAACCCTTTGTTCTGCAGCTGTCACAACATGTCTTGTGGCAAACCTCACTGTGCTCCTCATAAGACTTCTTTCATAAGCTTTTGGTCAAGTGGGGCTGGTTTGCAATTTCTTTAATACAGGCAATTTTCTCTGAGTTCTATTTATTGGCTTTTTTTTTGGCTGTGAAAGTACAGAAATAAGTTTTTAAAGCTAGGATATAAGCACAAGTTCAGGCTGTTGTGTCTATGATAACAATTGGACATTAAATGGATCCTAATGAGGCAAAATGCAAGTTATTATACTAATTCTCTGACCTTTCAACAACTGGGGGTTGAGAGCTCTATGAACTTCAGCGAGCACTAGGGAGGATTTGTGGGGAGCAGGAACTGGGGAATAGCTGTCCTTGGACAATGTCAATGCCCCCGCAGCTCAACCAGGTGGGGTGTGGGCTAGAAGTACCTAGATACACATGTTAATCCACTTGAAAGAAGGATATATTGTTGCCATCTTTCTGAAGCCCTTGGGAAAGCTTGTAATGCCACTAATAATAGCCAGAACCCTCCAAATTCAATTCTAATGCTGTTCAGAGAAAAAAGGATCAGCTGCACCAGCCCCAAAGACAGGATCCCAGTTGCCCTATGCAAGGAGCAGGGTCTGCAGGGATGCTCAGGGCCTCCAGTTTTAGAAGGCAGAAAATAACCAACTGCCAAGGATATCGAAAAGTCATAGAAGGACATGTCTATGCTAAGCTGCATCCCCTAATGTGTGCTAGGCTGAACTCTGAAGCAGAGGGACCCTGACCTACCCAAGTTGGAAGTCCACTTTTTGGGTAACCAAGCTGGCTATCACATGCCCTACCCTGTTTCTACAATTTGCTCGGATTCCCAACAATGAAGGAGAGATACCAGCTGTGCCTCATTTCTTTTTAGCCCCAGTGTACCTGCACTATTCCTACGGTAATCTCTAAGTCTTAGGGAAATAAAAACTAGGTCCTCTTCGTTAACAATATGCGAGGCCTGTTTTCAGGCATTTAACCTCAGAACTGCCTGGAATGGAGATGGATGGATGGATGGATGGATGGGGCTAAAAATAAAATTGCTCTTCTCCTTGATAACGTTTTAGGGGTCATAATAAGGTCCTTACTATATCCTCATCCTTTAGGTCTGACACAGCATTCACTACACTTAAAACCTATCATGTGTTCCTCTTTGGAAAGAATCCCCCAGACAAGCATAAATATATAGCTCTCAGGGCAATGCGGCAGTGTACTGCTGATGTAGATTCTCGCCCAAGTAACAAAAGGAACTAATCACATGCTTCATGGAGGGTGGTTTTCAAACAATCACATTTTCCAAGAAAATGAGTAGCAAGTCCCCCACCATCAGACTCATGGTACAACTGGAAATGGAGGGGCCTCCGAGGGAATAAATGCAAACTGCTCTTTCCCAGGAGAGGTTCCTGCCTGCATTTGGCACCTTCAAAAAAAAAAAAAGCTTTGACTCTAGATCTTCTGAGAAGCTAAAATGTGTCTTGTCCCACTGTGTACATTCAGCGGTCACTTTACTTCTGCTTGGGAACAATCCTTCTAGGATGCTCCTTACAGATGAGGTGGCCAAGGACAAACATGCTGGCCCCATCATACTACCTCTCCCTCCTCAGTCTAACCTTCAACGGCTTGCAGATCAAGCCGTGAGAGCTACAGACTGGAGCAGGTCACAAGCAATGTGCTGTAGCTTTGGATATGATAAAACTCTAATTGCATATGAGGTTGCTAGTTATGTCTGTGTTTTTTTTAATTTTTAATATTTTATGTATTTGAGAGGGGGAGAGGGAGCACGAGCATGCACACAGGCAGGGGAGGAGCAGAGGTAGAAACAGATGCCCCCTGAGCAGGGAGCCTGATGTGGACCCTGAGATCATGACCCAAACCAAAGGCAGATGCTTAACCAAATGAGCCACCCAGGTGCACCTGTTTTTTGTTTGTTTGTTTTGTTTTTGTGTTTTTTTTTTTTAAACCAAAAAAGGCTGCTGGTTCTTTGTGCCTGGATCTCCTCCGCTATGAAACTGGACAGCCATGTGGCTACCAGGGAGGACTTGCCACTCTCAGGCATTCCCTCCAAGGCCACCCAGGCCGGGTTGCCAACAACATCCCCTTTGGATTCTTTATTCTCGGGGCACCTGGGTGGCTCCGTGAGTCAAGCATCCAAATCTTGATTTTGGCTCAGGTTGTGATCTCAGGGTTGTGAGCCTGAGGTGCCTGCTGGGCTTCACCCTGGGCATGAAACCTGCTTCGGATTCTCTCTCCATCTCCCTCTGCTCCACCTGCCCCACCTGCCCCCCAACTTGCACTCTCTCTCAAAAAAAAGAGTAATTTTTTATTCTCTGCCTCTTTCAGAAAGCCCATCTAAGAAAAGGGTAATAATGGGTAGGCCACAATCCCCTTTAAGCTGGTGAAATGGGGTAGGAGATGGCCTCCAAGCCTGCATCCTCTCCAGCAGGCTCTTTCCTGGATGATGTTTGGGAAAGGGAAGAAGATTTCTGAGAAGTTCCTTCTCTCAAATGCAACCATGACTCAAGCCTTAGAAAGAAATCAAACAGCGCCTGGGTGGCTCAATTGGTTAAGCAACTGCTTTTGGCTCAGATCATGATCCTGGGATCCAGGGGTCCTGGGATCGAGTCCTGCACCAGGCTCCCTGCTTCTCCCTCTCCCTCTGGCACTTCCCCTATTCATGCTCTTTCTCTCCCTGTCAAATAAATAAATACAATCTTTAAAAAAAGAAAGAAATCAAACTGCCTCAGAGGGTGCTCTTCTGGTAATGCCACAGCCAGGACCAGACCCCATCTGGGCCGCCAGGGTCTATCAGACTGTGGAGAAGCCAGCCTTGAAGCCCTCTGACCGGACTGAGAGCTTTGAGTCACAGCTGAATGTAACTGGAGGTGATACCACAGGGTTCAAGGCATGGGCTTTACGGGGCAGGACGCGTCCAGTCTAATCAACGTGGCATCAATGCTGGCAAGTTACTTCATCTCCCTAAGCCACACTTTTCTAGGGGGACAAGTAACAGTGTCTACCCGACATGATTATTCTAAAGACAAAATGAGATGATGCATATAAGGTGCGTCGTATGGGAACTTTGGGAACGCAGTGAGCAATAGATGTTTCCTGTTCTTTCCTTACTCCGGGTTGCACTGTACAATATGCAAAAGTCCTCGCTATGGTTCTGTGTACAGCATCGATGATCAACGCTCTGACTTGGGAGCATGACGCATTTACATTTGGCTAACACAATCCGTTTCAAGTGAAGATTCTTGAGAGAGAGTTTACAAAATGTCATAGGTAAAGTTTCTCTAGAAAGGATGAGACCCCACTCCCTCTGAAATAGAAAGGACTCAGCTCTGTAAGGACGAGGCCAATCCTGTCTGGTGTTCACCCAGTACCTGGACTGTAAGCGGGGTCTTGAGCTGACTTGCTTTCCCTTCAAGCACAGCAGCAAGCAGCTAGAGATGAGGAACTAGAAGTTCTGGGATGCGGAGAGGCAGAGAAAACGTCGTCCGGGGTAGTCAGGACGGGGCGGGGGGGCAGATTTCCCCTGCCATCCCAAGGCTGGAGTGGCCTGGAAGTGGGAGCCATGGCAGCTACCCCTCCTGCAGGGTCCACCTGCCCCCAGTAACCTGCCTCACTCTACCACTGAGCTGAAGACAATCCTGTCATCAGCAGGAACCTCTGTCACCAGGGTCAACTCATTTCTGCTCCTCCTGGGCTGCACTGGAGGCCTGAGGCCATCTAACCTCTGGTGGCCTGACTTGAAGAGCCCAGAAGTTGCAGAGGGAAGTCCTTCTTCCCTCCCATGAGTCAGACAGAGAACCTGTGGCACGTGGCCCACTGCCTAGACAGCCTCATCGCGTGTCCCCTCACTGCCAGCCTGCCGGCACACCCTCCCATAACCTACCACAGGCCAGGACCTCCGTGCAGAGTAGCTGGTACCTGTGCCCTCCCTGTTGTGTGGTTGGTTTTGAGTGTATACGTGACTGAGTCATGGATGCCCAGATATTTGGCCAAACATTGTTCTGGGCATTTCTGTGAGGGTGTTTTCTGGATGAGAGTAACATTTAAATCATTACAATTCAGTGAAGCAGATTGTCCTCCCCGATATAGGTGGGCCACAACCAATCAGGTGAAGGCCCGACCCTTCCCCAGGTAAGAGGGCATTCCTCCTGCCTGACGGCCTTCAAACTGAGACATGAGCTTTTTCTTGCCTTTAGGCTCAAACGGAAACACTGGCTATTCTGGGTTCTTAGG